AGAGGGGGGGGGGAGGGTGAGTGACCCAGATGTCGCTCAGATCGTCTCCGACTAGGTCTTTGTGTTGTCCCAATTAACTGGGTACTAAAGGTCACGTTTTGACACAAAGCCACAACCTACGATAATCATCAACCCTCAGAATGAATGAAACTGACTGTGTCGATCTTACTATACCATTCCCTTTTGTGTTTATGAGTTCTTTAGAACAGACACAACACGGTGGAGCGACCGAACAATCGGAAGTGCTTAAAAGACTTCACTGTTTCTCGAAAAACATTGGACTATTTTGTTTTAGTTTGTATAAATTTTCGTTTTTAGAAGTTTGTTGCAATCCCTCTCCTCCACTCCCCACCCCTTTTTCTTTTTCGTTTTGAACAAGCACAATACTTTAGACTGAATTATTAAACTTACCAGATGACGGTTGGATAGTGCAGGAAGGGGGGGGGGGGGGTATGGGTTTATAGGATCAAGGACGGGATTTGAAATTTTGGACACGGTCTGGGTAGGTGGGGGAAGGAAATTTTCAAGTCTCCCTTACTGCAAAACATGGCAGCTTGGTAACGGAACAGTAAAAAGCTAGACGACCAATTGCCACCTAAAATCGATAAAGTAAAAAAAACAAAAAACAAATCCGGCTACACGAAGCAGGCAGGAAAAATGTGCTTTTTATTCTGGATTCGGTGAGCGAAATGTCTCGATGTCTTAAACACTTCGATTTTTTTTTCTCTGTTCGCCAGAAAAGCACTCCAATCGTCGCCCACTGTCGGCTTCCATGTAGAAGATTGAGCCATATGGTGTCGAACTTTAAAAAAAAAAAAAGGCAGTTTCCTTCCCGGCTCAGTCGCAAAGGCAGGGGTATCTCATACGGTGCCATACAATTCGTTTTTACCGACTGGTATACAGGGCGGTGCCCTATATTGGCCATCAATGCCATATTTTGCAACACTGTACTAATTAGTATAATTATATAAATACATGTATTGTGCCTAATGTGGCGTTGGTGGCCTAGTGGTTAGGCTCTCGGACTCGCAACCGTAAGGTCGTGGGTTCGAATCCCGTCAGGGGCCCGACGTTGTGTCCTTGGGAAAGGCACTTTACACGAATGTTCCTCACTTCACCCAGGTGGGAATGGGTACCCGGCTATAGACAGCGAAAGATCTTGTCAGTTTGTTAGTGTTTGAGCGCTTAATCGGCTGCTTGCACTGTATGTTTCCCGGGAAGCTGAGAATGTTTCGGAATGTTCTATGGTCTGTTGGGGTAATAATATAGTGTACAGCGCATAGAGCCTGCTGTTGAGCGGCGATATGCGCTATACAAATGCTATCTATTATTATTATTATTATTAATGTCACACTTACGTAGACTGGTGGTTGTGGTGTAGCAGTTTGACGCTTGCCGTCGCACACAGAAGACCCGGGTTTTTGTGGAGTATCTCGGTATTGTATCCGTTTCAGCTCAGATTTACTCTGATAACCAGAGTCAAGCAAACCCCAAAGGTGATATAAATTCTGTCGACGGGGGTGTAAAACACTAACCTATATTTAATTTATATTAAAATGACATAACCTGTGAACTTCATTTAGTATGCCTCGATTATACCGTTGTGAATGAATCCCCAAACCAACGTAAACTAGAGTGGTCTTTTACTTGTTCGTTATTTTCCCCCATTTTTACGGGAAAAGAAAACTAGCATTAGTGAAACTAACAGCACTGTAACTGAAGCCAGCCAAAAATAAAACGTGTAAGCTGGTGTATTATAGTCACATATTTCTTTTTTCAAAGCTTGTGAAACATTCTCAAACCTATTATTAAGTGTGTTGGTTGTGTAAGTAGTGGATGAAAACCTTCGGTTTCAAATGTCCTTTTTGGATTTCCCCTTCTTATTGGTGACACTTCCGCATGTCCTCCCCTCCCCTCCCCCCCCAAAGAAGAAAAAAAAGAAAAAATCAAATCGCAAACCCCGTTATGAACAGTCCTAATGGCTAGTGGTGGGCAAAATCCGGATAACCGGATAATTTTTAGTGAAACATTATCCGAATTCAGACTCTTAAACTCTCTTTCATGACCCGTTTGCCGAAGTGGGTGCACCCATTTGTTGAAATGGTTCTTACCTATTTTCCGAAGCGATTCGTAACACATTAAATCGCTGAAGAAGGGCACTAATATATTATCCGGATATTGCTAAAGCGACTCATTGCCCAGCCTTACTAATGGCCTTACTCGTACGTGCAGGTGCCGTTTATACGCCCACTGTTCCCAACGGCGCTACTGAGGCAGGCAACATAGAACGAAATTATGAGGGTAGTTTTTCATTGTTTGTTTTACTTTCATTGGCGATTGACGTTATGGAGCACGCCCTCATTAACAGGATTTTTTGTGGCATGAAAGAACGATAATTAGAACAATGTGTTATGGAAAGGTCGAAGCTGCGCACTGCCTACACATCCGAGTCGTCATGGTCTGTTTGCGGTTTTATGAACTGACAAAGCTAAAGGGCATCAACATTGCAATGTATGCAGTTTAAAAAAAGAATAACGCAGTTTTAGTAATGCCAAAATAACTGCCCGGTCATAAATTTTGAAAGATTCCTACCAAAGCCTCCCGCCCTTCCCCCATCCCCTTTTCCAGCCTTCCTGACCTCACCAAATTTCACCACCTCCCGCTTTCCCTACCCACGGAAGCAATCAAATTTCCATTTTGTTATTCAGAATGCTTTGATCGGGAGCTTGAAGTTACTGTACTGAATGGAATTGCCTAGCTGATAGAATCTTTTGACTTTACTTCAGCGCTTTCCCTACAGCAATAAATAGCTGTGCAGGTTGCAAACAGAATTTGCCGTCTCATGAAGGATGCAGAACAAAAGCGTGTGCAGAGAAAGCATTACAAATAAGGGAACTGTTGAGACATTGATTAATTCCTGTGATCAAAGAACATCAAACCCATCAATCAAGCTCAATTGTAATATGGGACCGATTAGGCGTCATTCGACATTGGTGGGATGGGATTCATCAAGGATTCTAGGTCAACATTTGAATTTCTCCGACATCGTCCTCAGCAACATATTATTCGGGTCATTGGGACCAGGGAAATGCTATCGATTATTCCGACTCTAATCCTGACTGCGGATGCATGTCTAAAGCGTGTCCAACATCATAGGGGCTAAAAAAAAAACAGCAATTGACTTGAAATCAAGTTGTCTTTTCCCCTTGTGCGCTCTCGCAGACTCATCACGAAAGGCCACTTCGAATCATATCATGAGAGTTCGTCTGTCCGCTGCGATCGAACGATGCTGTGTGTGGTTTATAGGACAAACCGAACAGCAAGGATAATAGAACGAGAAGAAAGAAAGAAAGAAAGAAAGAGAGAAAGAAAGAAAGAGAAAGAAAGAAAGAGAAAGAAAGAAAGAAAGAAAGAGAAAGAAAGAAAGAGAAAGAAAAAAGGAGAGAAAGAAAGAGAGAAAGAAAAAAGGAGAGAAAGAAAGAGAGAAAGAAAGAAAGACGCACCTTCGAAAGAGAGGGAAAACAACTTTCGTGCCGATGTAACGGAAGAAAAAAGTGTTCGCAGTTTAATATTCTGTAAAAGAAAGGGCTACACGAGTGAGTGGATGACGTTATTGGCCCATAGATGAAGGCAAGGCTTCTTGAAGAAATGAACTTTTCATGTTCACGGGCAAAGTTGGTAATTGCCTATAGCTGCTGGAGGTGGTCTAAGAAAGCGTAAGCGCGGCTGTAGGGGATTATAATTGTGGGATAAGGTCAATAGGGAGAATTATTGAGCCGACTCTGCGAGTGTAAAAAGGGTAGAAGAATGGTATCATGAACAGCGGAAGAAGTGGGTGAATGGGGAAAGCGTTTCAGGTTCAACTCATTGTGTCTGAGTGTTTTGTACTTTGCTGTTGAACAGATAGTGTTTAGAGAACGAAGACACATTTCACCCCCTCTCTCTGCCCTGCCCCCCCCCCTCCTCCTTTCCACACCCACCACCATCAACCCCATCAACAAGAATAATCTCAAAAATATGCTATCAAACTCACAGGTCACATATATCCCCACTCTATGTCTTTATCTCTCCATTTTTTTTCTTTTGTTGTGTTTTTTTTTACTTTCCAGTAACACTTCCAATTTACAGCACTTATAATATGACCTAATTGCGATGCTAGTTCGACTAGAACTAAATTGTCTCTCTTTGCCCGTCGGCAGGTGGAGATCAAGTGTGAGCGCTGTCTCGCCGACCACCGCACGGCCACTGCCATGTGTGAGCAGTGTGAAGTCTTCTTCTGTGACATTTGCCGCGACCAGTGTCACCCAATGGAGGGCGCCTACGCCAAACACAACCTTGTGGACCCCACGCAAGGGGACATCATCCTCAAGTACAAGCGGAAGAACAGCAAAGAGCACAAATGTCCGGAACACCCCACGGAGACCCTGGCTATGTTCTGTCTGTCCTGCAGGCTTCCGGTGTGCTGCACATGCGCAGGGGACGGGCGTCATATGACCCACGAGGTGCAGCCACTGCCGGCCATGTGCAAGGCACAGAAGGTGAGTACACAAAACTTAACACGCGTGTTTATTGTTTATGGCTCGTTGTTATTCTGAAGCGTGTGGAACATACGAGTAGATGTGTCAGCACATGCATATAGCCACATGTTCAGACTCATGCGTAGATCTATGCATAAACAACGCACAAGCATATTTATTACAGAGGTGTTCAATGTGAGACCGTTGTTGTGCATACGGCCACGTTTTTTTTCCAGGGCGTGTCTGTTTTGGATCAGGGAGATAGAGCTATTGGCATATTCCTCACCATCTCGTCAGTGGCAAGACTGGCATGTTGACACGCCATTTCTATATTCATCTTTTTTATCTGTCTTGTGTATAGGTTGGACATTACTTCGACTCGTCTTTAGCGGGAACAACTTTAGGCGACTGGTCTTCTTGTATATTTGTGATTGGGTGATTTCAAGTACATGTTGAACATTAGAAATGTTGCCAAAGGGCAACTGGGAACTCTTGATTTCCACTGCCTAGAACAAGCTTATATAATTATGTACATGCGTTTCAGGTGCCGTGAAACTCTAATCAAAATTGAGAGAGAGAAAAAAAAAGAGAGAGAGAGAGATAGATAGATAGATAGATAGAGGGAGAGAGAGAGAGAGAGAGAGAGAGGGAGAGAGAGAGAGAGAGAGAGAGAGAGAGAGAGAGAGAGAGAGAGAGAGAGATTCTTGAAAATTGATACGTATAAGGAAGTGAATCAACTTTTAAAGAATTTAATAAAATATGACAGTGCAATGAAGTACAAGAAATTTGACTCTGGCCGCTAGAAGAGATTTTTGTTTTTGTCTTCAAAAGATTGTTGGTTGTTTTTTTTCGGATCTCAAGAGCAAAACAAAAGCTATGGGCATGAAATGCAATATCGGGACAAATCTCTAGATTAAACTTGTCTATGGAGAACGTAATAATTCACTTCTTTGAATACCTTCACGTCGGGTGTAAAATATACACCGCTGCTTTATTGCTCTCAGTTCAGCAATCTTGACTTTCTAAAGTGAGACAGGGTTTGTTCAAGGCACTGGAAATGAATAGTTTCCTTGGGCCGTCATCATTACCATCATCAACGGCATCGTCATTGTAGTAGTAGTAGTAGTAGTAGTAGTAGTAGTAGTAGTAGTAGTAGTAGTAGTAAGGGATTATTGACAATTCTCTTCATTCTACGTACAGCTTACACTTGAAGAATAATTCAACTTGAAAAAAAAAATCAATGTTTGGTATAGCAGCTCAATGCGTGGTTGTTCACATTTTATAAGAGCTGTGCCAATACCCTTTTTTAGTCTCTTAACAATGGACAGCGATTGGTCATTGATTTGTCACAAATAGTTTCGTCTCTCGGTATCGCTTATCTCAAACCGCTGTTTTTTTTTCTTCTTTTATCAAGGGCATTAACTTCTGTTTGATAGCCATTGAGGCTGGCGCCGCCATGGGCGAAGCTATCGGTGCAGACGTGACAACGAGACCTTGGAGCCCAAATCGGCTGGCTGATATTTCCGCATTATCACCGATGTTATCGGGCCTGCACTTTTGCTCACTTGCTCAAGGGGGTTTTGCTTTATCGTGGACGCTTCTGATTTTATTGCCGTTCGGGGAGGTAAAGAGGAAACTCTAGCTCAAACCTGGAAGTATCAAGTCGCAGAACATGCTTTATCTTCTCTCACCGGCACTTGGCTATCTACCACTAATTTACCCAGACATTCCCGCTGTCATAACCCGCGGGCCTGTGTTTGACTTAGGATGGGTCGCGGTATCTGTCTTTCGGTGTTACCACTGCTCGTGTGGATTGGTCCCGAAAGGCTCGTTGAGCACGCACACAGCAGTCGCGCGGCTTTTGTCCTGTCTAGTGGTCTGGGAGGGATGAGTCAACCGCCCAGCACGCTCCTCATGTGGCCGTGCTGGTCATGTTTGTCCAGACGACTGTCTCGTATTTGCACAAATGCTTACGAGAACGATTTTTTAGGGATTACAGAAAAATGCGAGTTGGCTGAATTTCGCCGCATACCCCCAGTAGTACGCTGTCGTTTTGTTCCTGCCGGAAGTCCTGTATATTTTCCTGTTAAACAGATACACAGCTCGCAATAGGGGTTTAAAATGAAACTTTATAGGTTTAACGGCCTTTTCAAATCTGAAGTTATTTCAGAGGCAAGACCCTGTGCCGCAAACACAATAATGGAAGACTAGGCTCTCAGTAACGAAAATAAATTAAATTAGATTGTCCAAGTTTGACGCCCCTTTCAGCATTGTGAGGTTATTTCATACTAAGGATCCCCGGTCACAATAGTAAAAGACAACTTTAAAAATAAATAAAATGCAGGTCTATAATATTATATTACAAATCGCCGAACATGCTTTAATGGCCACTTGCCCAAGATAATGATATGTGCAAACGAAGACTTCTAACTTCCACACTTACGGTTTTTCTTGTTTCAAAATGACACTGGACAAGGCGTAAACCTATCTAAGACATCTTTTTTTTAAACTGACAATGGGTGGCCGTTTCGGGAGATACCAGTGTACATATTTCGATAATCCCTGCCAATAAAAAACGTAGCTACTACAACGTTTGTGTTGACCTGATTCTGGTTTGCTACTTTTACGACCACGACCTTCCTTCAGGCGTACCTTTCAGTGGCTAGGTGTGAATGAGGTATATTGACGTGGTCACATGTATCATGTCGTAATAGGGATACTTACGACGGCCTCATCTCACGGTAACTGCTCAACCATGAAGGTCGCCTGGGGGTGTGGACTGGAAAAGAAGTGGGAGGGTTAGGGCACTTAAAACTATGGAAAAAAAACCGCGAGGTGTTTTGAAAAGCTATTCTAAATGATTGCTATATCTACTTGCGAGGCTGGTTATGTCGTTTACGCTCTTGTTTGATGAAAATCGGCCTATTCAAATCGATCTCACAAGCACAAAACCCTTTTCATCCGCCTATAAGCGAGGAAATAGGAGGCGGGAGAATATTTATGGCTAGCATCACACTGTGCTCAAAGAATAATATCTAAAAGGTGCATTGTGCTGCCGTCTAGTACTGCACACACCATTGACCTCCCTATTTATACAAAACTAACAAATCCAGACACCGTAAAATTCGCACCCATAAAATAACATAATACTCTTTATTCATCCCTGACGCATAAACACTGTGGAAACGCACTTTTGTTTATACCGTCCGACGCCAAGTCTTGAAACTATTTTCATTAAAAATGCAATCCAGCCCTTGCCTTTAAATCTAACTCAAACTGAGTCCAACGGGCTTTGAACGACACCTAATAATAAGTTCGCTGACGCAACCGCGGCTCTTTCTACACTTTCCCTAAAACCCCCAAACCTGCTGGGCTTCTTCATCGCAATCCCACGTCTGCGCTAATCCCTCAAAACCAACATGGCTGCCGGGCAGCTCTGTTGAGTGATGTCCGTGGGGCCTCACAGCTCGTTAACTCATGGGCCGTTTCCTCATCACCTCCCCCTCCCCCCCCCAACCACCTTTTT